CCCAGGGGTCGTATATTTTCAACTGTAGATAGCTTTATTTTTGATACTGCCCAATTGTTACGGGGCCGGGGCAGTCCCAAATTATATAGCACACCTAGCAGTGAACGACTACAGTGGAAGGTCTTCAGGGTTATGGGTTCAGTGTACACCCTCCGAAGCGGTCTGCCTCTGGCGCTTGAGTGTCGGTCATGTCTAGCCTGAGGCGTTGAGTGCGGTGGAGGGGCAAAATCGTGCAAAACTCTCTACACTTCATACCCTCAGCCACAGTGAGCCAGCGAGTTAGGCATCGTAAGTCGTGCAAGGTTTCCGGATCTTCAGGGCTCAACAAAGTCGGCTGCTCAGTTGTATCTTGCAAAATCAGAGGAGTCGAAGGTATACCGTTGGTAGAAGGCTCGCCATGTGAGCAATGATGTCTTCTATCCACATCGCGACAATGCTCCTATTTTGGGACACATGTAGGAACATGCTGCCGTGAAACTGGATACGCAAAAAAAGATGGAGTAATTAAGCGGTCGAAGTAAATGCCAAGATGATTTGGAGGTCTACACTGAGGCTTTCTATACCATAATTGTGCAAGAGTTCTGGGCATAAAAAAATTATGGTCTATACTGAGGAACTCTATACCATAGCTGTGCAAGAAATCTGGGACCACAATATTGGTAGTCATTGAAGCCCCCATAATACGTGGATTCGTCGGACTAGGGTGACTAGGGTTAAGGTTGCGGGCCGGGGAAACATGTATCTTGTCGGGTTTAGAGTCCCCCTTAGGTAGATAGAATATGGCTTTAGGTATGTTATAATGAGATCACTATATATACCCCAGATTCTATCTACTTAAGAAGGACTATGGGGTTTAGGCTTGTTGTGCACTTCTCATAGCGGTACCAAATGATCTCTGTAAGGAACGACGAAGAGCATCCCGAAAGGTCCCGTAGGCCCCCCTTCCGTAGATAGAATACGGGGGGTTTAGGGTTTAGAGGTTTAGGGTTTCGAGGTTTAGGGTTTAGAGGTTTAGGGTTTAGTGCTTAGTCCCCCTTACGAAATTAGAATATGGGCGTTATATGGGGATAATGGAAAAGAACATGGAAACTGCTATGTAGGGTTTAGGGTATAGTCCTCCTTAGTAGCCAGAATATGGGGTATATGGGGATCTTATTATAATATACCCAAAATGATATTCTATCTACTCAGGGGGGACTATACCCCCATCAATGTCAGAGCTCCAGGGCATGGAACATGTCACGTTTATGAGGCCGCGGTGTAATCATGTACAGGCACAAGAGTTCCCTCAAACCCCAACTCCTGGACCCTATGGGGTAGCAGAGAGGGTTCGTAAACCCTACACCCTAAACCCTAAACCCTACACCGGGGAACCCATGCCTATATGAGCTATAGTCTAAACTCCTAGTATCCCCCTTAATAAGCCCTGTAGTAGTCCCCTATATAACCCCCTATATAGCTCCCTTCAAGGAGTTTAGACTATAGCCTACATGAAGCCAAGGCGCCATGCTTTCATTTCTTTGGCTGTCGGCAAGTGCTTCACTGCCAGAGGCTCTCCGTCGACATCCTTCCTCGACACATGGGAAGTTCCCTAGGGTTTAGGGTTTAGGGTTACATAACGGTTTTCTGGAGTCCTAGAGGGGTGATTTACGGAGATATCATAACAGCGTTGGCTGGGAATCTTCTTGGCTTTGGGGGCCCTGTTTGCGTTATACTACCCTGAGAATGGTAGCACAGTTGTGCGAAATGCCATTTAGAGCGCACCACGATTTTTTCGTCTTGAGGAGATGTAGGTTGCCACAGGGTACATTGCAGCACACCATCCCGGTAGAGCAAATATCTGACTAGGTTACAATACTACCGTAATACTTCCAAAAGGGAAATGATGCAACCCAAACCCTTAAGCCTTAAGCTTCCGATAAGTTCTTTATGAACCTGCACTTCCTTCTCCGGAGTTTACGTGGTGGCCTCTCACGCTCAAGTATCTTTGTAGGGTGAGTACTGCCCCCTGAGCTCAATGGCCCTGAATTGGGGATTATGCCTTGAATTAGGGTTAATCGTTTTTGGGTTTAGGGTTTTAGGGTTAAGGGCTTAGCTTAGGTAATTCAAGTCGAGGCCCTCAAGCAGCCCGCGCACATGGTGAGAGTCAAACCCTCAACTACACCCCAAACCCTAAACCCTAAACCCTAAACCCCAAACCCTACACCCTAAACCCCAAACCCTAAACCTCAAACCCTAAACCCTATACCCCAAACCCCAAACCCCAGAGTTTTAGGGTTTAGGGTTTAGGGTTTAGGGTTTGTACCCTTGGGTGTGGGTCCCTAAACCATGGAATAAGGCCCTGAATAAGGGCATGTGGGACCCAAAACCTAGGGTTACAAACATTAAGGGTGCAGATTTGCAGCCTTTGACTCTACATGATGCCATGTAACATCCCTCATAAGATTCAAGGATTCAAATCTAAATGGGGTTTCCATTGCAGTTAAGGGTTTAAGGATAAGGGTACCTCTTTGGGGGTAAGATTTTTTTGGGGTCTATGTTGAAGTCCTCCTATTTTGGGGAACTACCATATTGCTCATTGAGGAGTATTGGACTACTTGGGTGCCTAGGGTGGGCAACCTTTATTACTTTAAGGCTTTAGGGGTTTTAGGGTTCAGGGTTTGAAGGTTTTGGGAGGTAGAGGGTTGCGCTACACACCCAGCTAAGATGACTGGATGCTTGTCTACAACAAATCTGAATCCGCTCCGCAACTTTCGCCCCGATGCTTCTGGGGCAAGGGGGAGGTACCCCGAGATTCTGCAAGCCTAAACTCTAAACCCTCAACCCTAAACCCTTAACCCCTAAACCCTAAACCAGGTCTTGGAGTTGGAGATTCGCAAGGGCGGAGGACTCAA